CACAGCTTTTAAGCAGCAGTTTACAGTAATAAGTTTGAAATAAGCTTAAGTAAGTTAATTCTTTTACTTCAAGGAAGAGAATCTCTGGGAGAATGTAGATTTTAACCCTTTCCAAAGGAGGGCGTATCCCTATTTCCCACTTTCAAGCGATTGCAGCAACTTCTACAAATCGCCCACTGTTTCTGAATTTCTGGATCCCATGACAGAGTTACGTACCTGAACAACATTGTTACAGAACTCCAGTGATGTCAGAAAGGACACCAGTTCAGGAAATGTTGCCCAGAGTCCCCTCTCCAAGGAATACCAGTCTTCTGATGGTATATCCAGAGAGGTTGGCAGATCAGAGTACAATGCACTTAGCCCTGTTGCCAACACCTGAAATGTTACAAAATGAGAACAATTTACATTAGCAACACTGCAGATTTCAACCAGTTGAAATCTTAAAGCTGATCCTCCCATGTGGAAAAGTTTTAATATCAGGCATTATAAAAGAACTGAGATACTACACACGTACTTATTGGTTGATAGGTGTGTCTGGATGAGAGTATGCAAACACGGTTGTGACACTTTAGATTCACACATATTCTTGAGAAATCTTCTATAAAAGCAATGACTAGAGTGGTTAGATAAGGCTCTGTCATGTTGAAAGAAACTCATCTAAACACTTAGGGGGTTGGGAGAATTCTCAGAAGTCACCTGACTGCATCTCGGGTTTGCATATCACTGTCTCAAATTCTCTGAAACCTCGTTGTGTCTAGATGAGGCTATGTAAACATGGAAAAAGTACTCTAATGTTTAAACAGTGGATGGGATCACAGCCATTGGGTGTGCACAGTCCTGATCAAAACCACGGCAGTTGCTTGTTCAGGAAATGCTGCCTAGATACAATATTTGTATATTTGAATAACAAAAAAAACTGTCGTAAGGCTATCTCAAGCTGGATTTTAATGCAAAATGAAGATGCCAGTCACGTGAATCTAACTGCTCTTGCTACACTGTCACCAAATAGTATTCATAGAAGCCCTTGATAGGCAAAACATGAATAAGAGTTTTTTTTTTCTATAAACTACTTGAGAGACAAGATAAAAGAGCCACAAAAAATCCACTTTATGATTCACCTTCCAGCTACACGACACTTCTCTCATTTATTTTGGCACTTCTTTCATTTATTTTTACCAGCTGTCAACGCCACTATGACTCAATAGTAGTAAATTCAAATTCGATGTTAAATCCAAAAATTTGCATACATCGGGATTGGGGGCATCAAAAATTGCCAAGAATTTCAAATGTACAGACTTAACAGTGAGGAACGAATTCGAGATGAAATTACTCGG